ACTCTTGCTGTCGTCTCTTGTTGGGATCTGCTCTCGAGCCGCTTGATGGCAAATTTTTGTAATTATCTAGCACTTGAAGAAGAATCAAAATGTCTTCTTTTCTCCAATCAAACTTGAGCCCGGAGCATCTTCTTCTTCTCGACTTTGCATTTCTAGAACTTGTAATTAGGGCTCGGTATACATGGATCTTATTTGGCCAAAACCATCTCCATCCTGGCGATTACGAGGCTAAGATGTCTCAGATGAAAACATACTTAAACCAAACAGCCGTCGCTCGCCACATTAGTTGCGGTGCTGAGGGATGCATGCATAAAAAGGCTCTGAAAAGTAGGCAAACAATTAAGCTACTAATGAAAAGACAAAGTATTGGAGTCGTAGCTTGGTGTCAATACTGGCAAGACTCACAGATGGTGCCGACTAACATTCCGGCAAAACGTCTGAAAATTATCATACCTACGATAGCAGAGAACTTCGGGCAAGTTGGTTTTAACTAGGTCGCCTTGACAACACGACCGAGTTATGAAAACAAGGTCAATCAACTTCCAAATGTGAATATAATTAGAAACATTTCAGAGACGAAATATATGACTTAGCCTGACTTTGGTTTCAATCTGTTAGTTCAAGTTGTTCGTACTTTCTTTGAGTTTAGTTTTAACCAAGCCACTCGAAAAATGATCCAGTTTCTTATTAGTATATCTGGACAAATCTAGACGTCTACCAAAAACACAGCGCCTAGGGGAGAAATATATAAAATAAAAATTTTTAGAAATTAAATTCAGCGGACTTTTCAAGAAATATCTCTCTGGGTTTTAATGTAGCAAGAAAACAACTGGCATATACTAAATCTGGTATCGAGGCGCTTAGTGAAACCTAGAATAAGGTTAAAAGTTGCACCAACTGACTAGAATGAAAACCAGGAAAAGAAAAACCTTTCGCTAAATAGTTCGGCTTGTGGACGATTCTGACGGTATTCACACTCAACCTACATAATCATTCTCATTAAATCAACTAGCCGTTAATCCAGGATTACAAAACCTTAATCGTTTACTAAAATTTGATGACATTGAAATGACTTTGCACTATGTTCTTAATTTTCATTGTTATGATTAGTGATCGTCTAACTGGACTTACACATATCCAGGCACGCAGAGACGCAAACATCGTTGGAGACTATTAGATTTGTGGCGCGTGGGGATAATATGCTGCACTCTCACGGTTCGAGTCCCGCTGAGCGTGCTGATCAAACCTTGGCGAGGTCAAAACTGCAGTACACTTCTGCTTGGCTGAGAATACTTTCTGGGAAGCAGAGCTATGCTACTAATATCATTGTGGGAAAACTTAACTTTCATTCTTTCATCACCTTAAAAGAAATAAAGTGGGTATATCTCACATATCTGATTTATGGTGGTCCCGAAACTCTACTTATAAACGACAAATAAATGTATATCAAAGAATTTGTCAAAAATTCTAAACTGTCCTTTTATTTAAGTTCTTTTTTTTTATTTTGAGACTGTGTAGCACGTAAGGAGTTAGTTTGTCTTCTATACTTGCTTTTAGCTATGCCTGTCGAGGGGCATAACAGACAAAACCTCATTTCGTATTCACTGAAACCAAAGAAGCGTACCATGTGGAATGCGTCAACCTGAAGTACATGGAAATATCGTCTGATCGCAGAGCAACAGGATTCTGCCGCCCTGTTGTGATAAGGTAAATCTAAAAATTATATTCATCCTGCACTTTTATAGAAATCAAGGTCACCATAATGATACAGTCAAATGGGGCCTACTGAAGCGTTGAGACCCCCTTCCTACTGAAGAAATTCACAGCTCCAAGTGGCCCTTATCGAGTATGTTTAGAGCGGATAGCCGAATGGTGTGTACATTGCCAAACTATCATTTATTATTAAATTGCAACTTGATCGACCTAGCATGTTTAAGGCGATGTAAAGACGGATTGCCCACGTTTCCATGATGGAACATTTAATATTCAGACTGTCGATGAGCATGGGGCCAATATAGTTGCTTTCAGGCCAGCTTAGGAGACGTACAAGCTTCTCTTAGTTGGCGCCCGATGGCTCATCTGCCAATATGTCTATAGATTGTTGGCATGAGCTGACTTACTTGCAGATCACATGCAAGGAGTTCAGGAGAGATCTTGTTTCCACGCTGAAAATCCTGTAGGTATGTTTCTGCGTGGAAACTGGCAACAATTGACTTTGTAATAACAAAGTCACCTTGAGCGACTTCAGGTGATTTAATGGCGGATAATTGAGTTTTTTTCACAATCCGTTAAGTGGGCTTCACGATCCCATTTTGGCAGCTAAAGTGACTAAGTTCTTTTTCAAGTATTAGTGATAGTCCCGAAGACTAACTAGCTCGAAAAAAGGAAAAACTTGACACTACATCCAAACACACAGGGCCACTGACGAGAGGTGCCTGAAAAGTGGGTATATAGTTCTCCTCTTGCAATCCAAGAGTTTACCAACATTTCAATTTTTAAGGGCATTTTCTAAACGAAAGGATAGGAAGAAAAAGAATGACTCTATACATGGAATCATCATAAAACAAAATAAGGTTTGTGTCAGGCAAATCGCCTAATAAACTATGGAAATTACCGAATACAGACCTGTTCAATAGGCCACAATCGGCCTGAATTGACATCTTCGAGTAACAATCCATTATCCTCTTGACAACACATTGAACAACCATACTTACCGTAGCATCGAGCGCCTCTTCCCAGTCGAAAGCCATCCGGGCACTGGCAGGAAAATCCTCCCGGGAAGTTGATGCAGATGCCGTCACTACATGGCTGACGTAGACTGGCGTCCTGCTCATGAGCTCGACATTCGTCAATATCTGAGAAGGAAAATATCAAGTTTAGACAAAAGCATCACCAAGGCGATCGTATATCTG